GCAACAGCATTCCTCTTTTGGCAGGTCTAGTTAGGTAGACAAGAAACCTTTGTCAAAAGTGATAGGAGAAGGAAAAACAAGGGAAAGTCTAAGAGACCCTCAATCTGAGGTAGCTTCTATGTTGTCTTAGTCTTTCAAACAAAAAAAACCCAAAAACCAAAATATTAAAAAAACAAAAACAAACAAACAAAAAACACCCCACCAAATCTAAATTTAGATTTAGGCCATCACAGAACAGGTCAGTGATAATATGAAGTCTACTTTGTACTTTTATTAAATTTCTATAATTAGCATCAAGTTTGCTTTTTTATGAAGCAATAAATGAGTCACAGAAAGACAAAACAAAATACATTTAATCTCTACATACCTTTTAAACTGTCTCATAAATCAAGAAAAAGTTTTATCTATGTTCAAGATTTGTATAAACTTAAGTCATGGTAATAAAGTATGCCTAAGGAATACTGAAATACTGAACTTGTTTGATAGTGCCTGCAGGTAACTAACTCACAGAAATAAATCACGAGCTAGTCTTGCTTATGGGCACTCATCCCCCCTCCTCCTTCCTTCCTCCCTCCCTCCTTCCTTTTTTAGACAGGGTTTCATTGTGGGCCAGGCTGATCTCAAATTCTTCCTGTCTCCACCTTGCCCTCTACCTCCATCCTAGTCCCCAGGAGTGAGATACAGGCATATGCCAACTCTTTAGTTTATGCAGAGGTAGACACTGAACCCAGGGTTTGTGCATGTTAGGTAAGCACTCTGTCAGCTGAGCTATATCTTTAGCTCAGTCTAATGATAAGGCTATTTTAGTACTTGATGCATCTTCTTTCTTTTAATTTGAATTAAAAAAATAAGTTAACAGAAATGAGGCTCTCTTAAGAATCTCAGTCAATCTGGCTAATGATTGTCTGGGTAGAATTCATCAGATAATTAGCAGTAGCAAAAATATACTGAGCTCAGTGGTTTTTTAATAATAAGCTAGATTATAGGTGCTTTTCTGTCCAGTTGAAATTTTTCTAGAGTAAAACTGTATTAACCTTGCCAGGCATGGTGGCGCACACTTTTAATTCCAGCACTCAGGAGGCAGAGGCAGGCAGATCACTGGGAGATGGAGGCCAGCCTGGGATGGTCTACATAGTGAGTCCAGACCAGTTGGGGCTACCTGGTGAGAACCTGTCTCAGAAAACACAAAACAAAGTTTTAACTTTTTAGACACATATATAGTTAGAAAAAAGATCAATACCTGGAGATGACAGGTGACTTACTGCCATTCATTGTATTTGTTCTTTCCCAAGGTTTCCTGGTTGGTTCTTCAAAAATAAGAAAGAAGTCCTATTAAATACACCTCATATCCTTTCAGAGTCATTGTAAAACAAGAAGATATTATAATATTGTCACAGTTATGCTCACATTAGAAATAAAGACAAATACAAAAATGCAAATTCTATTTTGTATAATTTTAGATCTTAAATCAAGAAATCATTAAGTATGTTTCCTTCAAAAAATCTTAGATTATAAAATCTAAATATTATAATTATATAATCCAAATGATATTGGTAATAAACATAATGATAAATGGGGAATAATTAACTAATTAGTATAGTTTAAAGTAGAATGTGATACTGCTGTCTTACACTAAACTTTCTGGTGCCAACAGTATACAAAAAGCATTATCTGTAACGTGCTTCTGTTCTTCAACATGTCTTATAGATCCAAACAGCTCTCATGGGAAAACAGTCTCAAAATAAGTTTCAGAATTAAGCAATTCTACTGTGTTTTCTAGATCCCTAATAGACAGTGTTTGGGATTCTACAGACACTGTAGGTTTCAATGGCTGGCCATCTACTATACTCTGACTTGTTTTCTCTAGTCTGGCTGACTCCAATGCCATCATCGGCCTCACTGGTCTTTTAGAGTACATGCAAAACTAAACTACCAAGAAGCCGTGCTTTGGGCTCTGAATTTCTGTTGCATACAGGCATCTAAGGGAAGAACCTGAAAGTCATCTTGCTTTACTCCTCATCACTTAATTCTTTCTCTTGTATACTAACAGCTAAGACATTCTGTCAGTGCACACTACGAACAAGTTTTTGGAGTTGGCAAGGGAACATCAAATAATCATTAAGGGGTCCAAGATGGCAGAAAAGAAATCCATCTAGCACATGAGCTCAAGCAGCTGAGAAGAGGGAAGACCTGAATGAAACTTCTGGACAGGGAAGGAAACAACCATCAGAATACTGCTACCAGATATAAAGATGACACAGGAAGGATGAAAGTGATTCCAAAGGGGGTAAGGTGCAGTGTTACTGTTTAATAGACTACCAGGTTCCTTTCTCAATTAGCCAGAACCCGTGTTATCTTTTTGTTTGCTTGCTTGTCTTTTCAGTCTAACCTGAACTATATAGTCCAGCTGGTCTCAAACTTGTGGCAATCCTGCCTTAGTCTCCCAAATACTGGGATTAAAGATACGAGTTATCTAGCTTCCCCTGCTAATCCCTACCCCCGCGCCCCAACAGGGTCTCCCTGTAGCCCCAGTTGGCCTAGAACTGATGATTTAGACCAGGTGACTCACAGAGATCTGCCTGCCTCTGCCTCCCAAGTGCTGGGATTAAAGGTGTGCACCACCATGCCCAGCAGCCCTCTGTTAATCTAAGGAGGTCCATTTGGTTGTAAGGAAGAGCTGTTCAGTGCTGTGTAAAACAGGGGGAACAAAGCATCTTTGTTTGAATGAGCACCAGATATGCTTCAGGAGGAGGTACAGAAGTCATGCCACCCTTCAGCAGTCTTTGGAAACCCCCAAGATCTCTACTGGCTCTAGCAGGACTTTCCACCTGGCTCCCCTAACTCAGTCTTTCCCAGTTCAACACCACAATGCTCACAAGAGCCATTTCAATGTGCCCAAAATGGTTTCAGCTGATCTTACGTCAATTTGAATAGTTGGAAGATACACCCCCCCTTTTTTAAAAATTTTATGTATATAAGTGTACTGCCTGCTTGTGTGTAAGTTCACCCGTGTCGTGCAATGCCCATGGAGGTCAGAAGGCGGTGTCAGATCCCCTGGAACTAGAGCTATAGATGGTTGTTAACCACCATGTGGGTGCTGGGAATCAAACCGGGGTCCTCTCCAAGAGTAGTCAGTGCTCTTAACTGCTGAGCCGTCTCTCTAACCTTCATAAAAGGCTCTTAACATGTGTTTCAAACTCATTTTACAACAAATCTCAAAAGGAAACGTCCATTCTAGACAAGGTAGTCGATTTCTCTTTCTTCGTTTCTTCCTATTCAACTTTCACCCCATGCCTGCTCCTGCTCATTACGTCCTACTTTCAGCTAAATACAATGCACAGTACACCACCATTTTCTCCAAAGATGGCCCAGGGGGCTCTAGATGACCCCTCCCTCTCTGACACAGTATTATGTAACATGTGTCTCATGTTCCCTGCTGGAATCCTGAGATTTTGTGCTCAGAGCTTTTACCTTTCACTTCTTTTTGGCTCATCAAGGATATTATAAAATGTTAGTTTTAACGACTGAATGAAACAACTGAAAAGAGAAGCCCCAAACCCTTCTGAATGGTTTTATATATGTGGCACCTGGAATGGGGGCTTTACTTTTTCACATTTAAGAAAATATGTATCAGAGAAGTAATTTATAATTCAAGAATACTTTGAAGCAATATTTTGACTAACACATTGTACAAAGATAGTTTTCTACTCTATGGGGAAAATTCATGACTTTATCCTATTCTAAAGATTCTATAGCCCTAAAGTATGCTGTAGTTCCAAATTTTGTCTCATAAAGATAAAGCTAAAATAAATGCTGGGATTAAAGGCGTGCATCATCATGCTTGGCTTACAACAGCAGCAGTTTCTAAAGACAGAAGAAAAAAAGTCAATGCTTTCAGATGTGAATACTGTAGCATTTTAGTGACTGGTATCAGTCACTTGGTCCAAACATGGGAGAACATTAACACTCAGGGAAAGTTCTCTCCTGTACTCACCAGGTGTACTGGTTGTCGAGGCCTTAGAAGTTACAGGCTCTGAATCTTCCTAAATATACAGAAATATTTGCATTAGCATCACATCCAACAGAAAGTACTGCTGTTCAGAGTAAGGGTTTCACACGTCCCCTTCCCACCCTCTTTCTGCCACCTCCTTTTTCTTTATCTGTCTTTTCTTCCTTATGTTCTGGCTCACACCACTTCCTTCTCAACCTTTCCTCCTCTGGCCTTCCCAAAGCTCCTTCCCTGGCATGTTCTGAGAACCTACACCAGCCAATGCTAGAAACCAGATGAGAGACAGATGAGGAATGCTATAAAAGAAGGCCAAAGAGCACAGGGAAAACACCCGCACTCTGTGAATACCAACATAGAGGGGCAGCTCGCCCAGTTGAAATGTGGAAGAGGCATGAAGGTTATATCCCTAAGGGGCACAGCTAATAACCACAGGGTTCTCAAGGGTGAAGCATAAATACAGCTGATTCAGTATAATTCCTTCATTTTACATTAATGAAAGAAACTGAGATCCTAAGAGAGTAGGAAACTAGTAAGAAGTCATTCATTCATTTAAAGGTGGGCAGAACCTCAGTACTTTCCCCACAACTCCCCATATTTAACTCATTTCACTAAAAACGAGATTAGAATTTTAGAAAATACTCAAAACAAGCCATTTTTAATACCCAAATAGTTAAAAATAAGCAAACATAAGCTCAAGGCAATTAAGTCCAAATTCAGTAACATCTGAGCTGAGTTTTTAATGAGCTGTGCCAGGAATTACACATTTTAAGGTGCAGAGGACTATTCACTTACACTTTTGTCTTCTTTTTGTTCTGTTTCTATTGTTGATCCTTTTTCAGCAATTCTTCTCCTAGAAAGGCAGACAGGAGTTTAAAAACATGTAAAAAGCATGTAACTCAGTATATATTTAAAGAAAACCAAAAAAGCTAAACCAACTCCTCTAACAGAGAATTAATTCCAGGTTATATTCAGGACAAAACGAACAAATCTTCTTGATTCTGGACATGTCCACTACAATGAAGTTTCTCACCTCCTGGCCAGCAGGGCACTCATTTCTTCCATTAAACCACTACCTCCTAAAGGAAGGGGTCCATTCCCACGCCCAGTATCTGTTTTGGATGAGGCCGAGTTCACACCAACTGCACTCCCTCCACTTGGGAAAGAGACATCTTCCACCTTATTGAGAACACACATACAATAATTCCCTACATTAGACAATCATGTTTACTAGTATATTCAAAACAGAAAAACACACTGTTACTGCTTTAAAAAATATTCAAGTATCTTTTAAACCTTAAAAACCGACAGAACAAATAACACTGACATTTATATAGCAATGGGAGTTCTGCCAAAGTTAACATTACCAATAACAGGATGAAAAACAGTATTATGTCTCTCCATATCAGACACCAAGAAAGACACAACTTTGGTGGTATTTTGCTTCCCTAAATGCATAATCTGAATCTGAAAAAAAATTTGCCATAAAAACCATTAGGTACTCCCTTCCAAATTTACACTGAGGTAGAGAAATAAGGGCATGATTCTTCTGACTTACTCTAGCATCACTGAGATAAAAATTCTGTCTAGTAAAGGAGGTATGAACAAAGAAAACAACCATTGGCTAAATGCTATCTAGTAAATCTAGAGGTGATGGGTTTGAAGAAACTGTACTATTCTTTCACCTTTTCTGAAATTTTTAATTTTGACTTTTTTACTCAATGAAGTTTATTACATGGGGTTCATAATATTATAATACAATAAATCCAGTATTTCAGATAATTAGAAACAGTAAGTCACACACTTAAAAGTTCAGTAATTTGGTAACTTACCCGAGACACTTTCCTAAGTTTTGCTCCTGCAATTGCAGCTGCAAGTCCAGTTAAAGGGCGATTGTCTTCGGACACAGATCCAGAGAAAAATCCAGATGCAGGGAGGGGAGGGGCAGGAGGTGGTGGAGGAGGTAAGGGTACTTGATTAGGAAGAGGGGGAGGGGGAGGGGGAGGGGGAGGCCCAGTGAATGGTAGTGGAGGTGGTGGAGGAGGACCAGGGGGAGGAGGAAGTGCTGAGATCTGGACAGGGCCTGGTGGAAGTGGTGGAGGGGGTGGGGGTGCAGGTGGTCCCAAGACAAAGCCTGAGAGGAAGAAATGGGAACAGTTATCAGCACCAGAGCTAAGTCACAGTAGTTTACATAAGCAGACAAGCAGAATGTCATGCTAAATTACACTGACTCAAACACTACACATCAGAGATCGATTTACCACAGTGCTTAAAGTTTACACTAGCTTTTTAAAAGATATAAAACTTGGAAGCCAAAGTTACCTATAACTACTTAATGTTAGACCTTTAGTAATAGAACTATCTAGTATCTAATTAGGTTTTTATGTTCCATGAGAATTTGAAAATGCTTATAAAATTGCAGAAGACACACATGTGCACACACATGCACACACAGTGGCAGTTAGAACTACCTGAGATAAGAGACCACACATGTTCATGTAAAAGCTTAGGTGCTGAAACAATACACTTGACTATGACCAAGAAGACATGTTTACAGACAGACTAGATTAAGGCTGCAAAAGAGAACTGGGTTCCAGGTTTCAGTATCTTAAACATATTCTACATGTAAAACCAGTAGGTAGCCAGAGCTAAGAATCACAGAAAAAAATTCCTAATATCAAGTAAAACCTCAAAATAACTAAGAATTTGAAACAGAGAAATGTTTTGGCATTCAAGATGGAGTGCACAAGTGTCCAAATCTCGCATAAAAGTAACAAAGGGAGTAAACAAGAATTGATTTAATATCAGAATACCAAATGAATGAGCATTCCCTTAAGACTTGAAGGGGTTAAATTTGGTTTTTAAAGACAGAAGAGTGTTTGCCCACTGGGTAGTAACTGTTCCCTTCTGAGGCTTGAACAGCAGTTCAGAAAGAGACATGGGTAGCTTAAAGTCAGCCATCTCTTCCTGCAAATTGTTAAGAGTTCGAAGCCACAGCAAGAGGACATTTAGTCTTGTCAGGCTAGTTGTGCCTTTTGTCCAGATGTCAAACTGCTAGACCTTTATTTATCATTTAGAAAAACGTGGTAAGATGACATCAAAAAATTAGTCATAATGGCCGGGTATGGTGGCGCACACCTTTAACTCCAGCTCTTGGGAGGCAGAGACAGGTGCATCTCTGAGTTTGAGGCCAGCCTGGTCTACAGTGAGTTCCAGGCCAGCCAAGGCTACACAGTGAGACCCTGTCTTTAAAAAAAAAAAAAAAAAAAAAAAGAGTTAAAAAAATCCCCCTTCTTCTTTTTAAAATTTTTTAAAAGGGGTTTTTTAAAAAAAAAAAAAAAAAGAGTTAAAAAAATCCCCCTTCTTCTTTTTAAAATTTTTTAAAAGGGGTTTTTTAAAAAAAAAAAAAAAAAGAGTTAAAAAAATCCCCCTTCTTCTTTTTAAAATTTTTTAAAAGGGGTTTTTTAAAAAAAAAAAAAAAAAGAGTTAAAAAAATCCCCCTTCTTCTTTTTAAAATTTTTTAAAAGGGGTTTTTTAAAAAAAAAAAAAAAAAGAGTTAAAAAAATCCCCCTTCTTCTTTTTAAAATTTTTTAAAAGGGGTTTTTTAAAAAAAAAAAAAAAAAGAGTTAAAAAAATCCCCCTTCTTCTTTTTAAAATTTTTTAAAAGGGGTTTTTTAAAAAAAAAAAAAAAAAGAGTTAAAAAAATCCCCCTTCTTCTTTTTAAAATTTTTTAAAAGGGGTTTTTTAAAAAAAAAAAAAAAAAGAGTTAAAAAAATCCCCCTTCTTCTTTTTAAAATTTTTTAAAAGGGGTTTTTTAAAAAAAAAAAAAAAAAGAGTTAAAAAAATCCCCCTTCTTCTTTTTAAAATTTTTTAAAAGGGGTTTTTTAAAAAAAAAAAAAAAAAGAGTTAAAAAAATCCCCCTTCTTCTTTTTAAAATTTTTTAAAAGGGGTTTTTTAAAAAAAAAAAAAAAAAGAGTTAAAAAAATCCCCCTTCTTCTTTTTAAAATTTTTTAAAAGGGGTTTTTTAAAAAAAAAAAAAAAAAAAAATAGCAGTTAACAAATCTCACTACTTCATCTTACTAAGTTTTTAAAGAGGTATGTTTAAATACAAATCCATATTATAGCACTGTTTCTGGAAGTGCAAATTTGTTCTCAGCATCATCTCTGCAATGCTCCCTATATCCTACATTTAAAAACAAACAATAAAAAGACAGGGTTACTATGCATCTTCTTACAGAACCAAGTCCACATCTGCTTATATAATCCATACTTAGATTCTACCCTCCATTCTCTACTGTACTGCCCAAGGCACACGCTGGAGTTGTGGGAAAACCTTCAAGGATGCTCTGTTTTGCCCTTCCATCACTTTCAATTTTTGGTTATGGTATCTTTTGGGGTATATACCATGCCTGTTACTGTCTACTTCTGCAAAGAATCTAAGGGAGTCACCCGTCTTAAAAGTCTAATATGAGAACTCAGCACAGGAGAAGTGAAGGAAGGAAAAAGAATCTAGTGCAGAAGTGCTCCAGGGTGAACTCCAGGATGATCCACTAACCAGATTTCCAAATCTCCAAGAAAGTAAAAACTACTTAGGTCATACTTTACTGCATGAAAGATGAATGGTCAAGTTTTCCTAGTGAAATTTAAAAGAAATGTATTACTATAGAGGCCCTTAAATACCGGAAAGCACCTTCTACAATACTTACTGCAAAAGATCCTAAAACCCAAGTTCAGTATGGAATCTCCCCATACTGAACTTCCATATACAATTAAGCAACAGAATACAAGAAAATCTACACTTTAAAATTTAAGAACACACAGTACACTTTGGCATACAGACACCCAACTATCAGAGCCTTCTGCTTCATCCAGTCAGAGTTGTTGCTATGCACTACTCTCAAGTGACTAGTCATCAGCAGCAGTACTGAAGCCTTACCCTGTGGGGTTGGCGTCTCGGCCGGCTGAGAGGCTGCCTGCAAGCCTGGCTCGGAAGCAGAGGAGTCTCCCAGCTCAGGATTTAGAGGGGTCTCCACAGAGGCAGGGGCAGCTGCAGAGGGAGAAGGGAGAACACTGGGCTTGGATGAGGGAGTTGAGGCAAGAGGGGTGCCTGGAGGAGGAGAAGCCTGCGATCCACAGTGTGAGAGTGAGGCGAGGGGAGGCAGCGGCGGCGGCGGTGGTGGTGGTGGTGGTGGTGGTGGTGGCGGTGGTGGTGGCGGAGCTGCTGGCCCTGAGGTAGGCGGTGGAGACACTGGGTATGTTACAGAGTCCAGCAGCCCATTGGGTGCTGCTGGTGATGGAGGCATTTGGGGCACAGGAGAGGAGACACAAACGGGGAGGACAGGCCTTGGGCCAGTAGCTTTGCCAGGGGGGCTGCTAATCATTATTGGAGGAGACGGAGGGAGGGGCGAGAAATTGGAAGTAGACCAGGCACAGGACTTCGCAGCTGAAGGCTGAGAAGAGGGTGTGTTCACAGGAGAAGAAGGTCGAGAGTTTTTGTTCAGAGGACGAGGAACTGTAGCATAATGGGGAAGAACAGGGTGGAAGGCTGAACCTAGAGATGTTGCAAAACGGGTCGCTGAGTGTCGCAGTGGTGGTGTAGGGGGTGTGGAAGTAGGTGGCAAAGCAGTCACTACAGCGTAATCAGGAGTGGCATCTGACACTGGAGCTGAGATGACTTTAGCATATGATGGAGGAGGTGCTGAAGGAGGCTGGCAACTGGAATACTCAGGAAGTGGAGCACTATACAGGGAGCTGTCTGAAGATGGAGCTGGACATAAGGTGGGAAGCAGCAGCAAAAGACAGGATAAAAAAGGAGAGAGAAAAAGGGAGCTAGTGAAGCCGAAACCAGCAATCAGACAATGTATCAATGCAGAATACAGCTGTACCAGATTAGGCAATCAGTGTGTTCACTTGAGAAAACTTTAACTTGCAAATCCACTATGAAATCCAAAAAGATGAAGTTTTTTATTTAATGTGGATTAATAAATTAACCTATCCTTTTAAAGTAAAGGATAGTAACAATTTTAATTTTTATCATTTAGTGCATTAAAAAAGCATCAAAATTACTACAAACAGAAGAATAAATTCACTTAAAAAAACAATAACAAAACTGGCAAAATGTTTACTACGAAGGGTAAGAAACTCCCCAATTCAGTGCTTATTTTTGGATACATTCTGTCTTCTTAACTCTAGATAATCAGGCAGTTAAAAACAATGAATTAACCAATGAACTAACCAATACTGACCAGCTTTTGATATATGTTATAAAGAATAAAATTCTTTGATAAATACTAAACACCTTAGACTTTTACCATATCTTAAATCTGTGTCTTTTAATGAATTTTATCAGGTTGCTATTTTTCATTGATTTTCCAAAATAGTAGAAAAATCTTTAAACAACCAGTTATTTTTAAGAGAGAATATTTTCATTCTTCCTTCAAAAATTTAAGACTATAATCAAGCTAATTTCTCGCTATACGTAATATAATACAGTATGTGAGATGATTTGAGCCATTTCACAAGGGAAATATCTTCTGAGATCATCCAATATAAAAAAGCTTCCCATAAAAACATACACTTTATAGCCAATTTTTAGGGAGCTTAGAAGAATTAAAATGCTAGAATAAAAGTTCCCAGGAGTTTTCTTTTATTTTCTAAGCAATAAAAGCAATACAGAGAAAATAAAAGGAAGTGCTGAGGCAGTAACTGCTGAGGATTTTCCTAGCTCCAAACTGTACTGCTTAGTCCCAAGCATCTCACATGGGAAACCTCATTCACACTGCATAGAGCCTCACCCAGCTCAAATGCAGGGAGGCTTAATCTGCGGACTCCTTACCAGCAGTGGACACTCTGCGCTCTCTCTCCCACTCCACTTGCTCCCGCTCCAACTGCTCCAGGCGCTCACGGTCTTGCCTCTCTCTCTCCAGGCGCTCCAGCCTCTCCCGCTCCAGGCGCTCCAGGTGTTCCCGTTCCTGCCTCTCCCGCTCCAGCTGTTCTTGTTCCAAGCGCTCCCTCTCAAGCCTCTCTCTTTCTAGCCGCTCTCTCTCCAATCTTTCCCTTTCCATTCTTTCTCTCTCCAACCTTTCCCTCTCCAGCTCCTTCTGTCGTTGCTGCTCTTGCAGTTGCCTGAAATAAAATATTCAATAAACAAAAAGATGCACTTATGGCTACCCATCACTAAAAATGAACTGATATTCTCTTCATTTCTGATTAAGTAAGTGTACAACATTTGATCAGCATCGCCATGTGAAGAAAGGCTTCCTTACAGACACCTCATGGTTCATATGAATGGAGGTACTTTCACAATCACCACGTGGGCTGAATGTTTCAAGCACATCACAATGAAGTCTTGCTTTATTTTCTAATTCTGAGAATAAAGTGTTGCAAGTGTGTCAATTTTCCATATAACTGAACCTATAACTGTAATGACAAAGTCATTATAGTAATTGTGTAATGAAAAAAATTATAAAACTGTAATCTTTTCCTTTAAAAATGTAACATTATTTTAGGTGGCCCATGCCTTTAATTAATTTCCAGCATTTATATCTCTGAGTTTCACGTCATCCTGGACTGCCAGAGCCACATAGTGAGACTGTCTCAACAAAACAAAAAAGTAATATTTTAACTGTTCAAGAAATAAGCTATTTCAGAAAGCACCATGATTGGCCATGGCTACATATAAACATTTGTTGAACTAAAAAAAAAAAATAGTAAAGCAAGGGGCTGGAGAGATGGCTTAATGGTTAAGAGCAGTGACAACTCTTGCAGAGGACCAGGGTTCAATTCCCAGCACCCACACAGTGGTTAACAACCATCTGTAACTCTAGTGCCAGGGGATATCTGGGGCCTTCTTCTGACCTCCATGGGCACTGCACAACATGGGTGCACTTACATGTAGGCAATACACTCATACCCATAAAATAAAAATAATAAAAAAACAGTAAAATAAGAAATAAACTTTAAACTACTGAACCTTCTATATGGGTAACTATAATTAGCATTCTGGCATGCACTTCCATACCTCTGGTCTTATCACAAAATACACATGAACTTTAAAATTAAAATAAATTTAGGATACTTCATTACGACTCTGAAATCTACTTTCTTTCTCTGGCATAATACGTTGGAAAAACTATCCTAAGCCTTTGGACAGATACAATCCTTAAGATTCTTTTTTAAAAAAATCCATTTCTTTTAATATTTTGTTTTTATTTTATGTGTAAGAGTGTATTGCTTGCATATGTGTAAGTGCACCTGTGTCGTGCAATGCCCATGGAGGGAGGTCAGAAGATGTTGAGATTCCCCTGGAACTGGAGTTATGGACACTTGTTAGCCGCCATGTGGGTGCTGGGAATTGAACCCAGGTCCTCTATAAGAGCAGATGGTGTTCTTAACCACTGAACCATCTCTCCAGCCCAATCCTTAAGATTCTCAATACATGGTTCCATATTATTCTTAGGAAACATACTTGAAAAAAATTAATATTCTCTCCAGATTGCTTTCTTGGCTTATTAGCAGAATCATCTCAAGGTTTTATTAAAGTACAAGTATCTGAATTCTGAACTACGCAAAAATCAACAGGTTAATTTCCTTTAAGTTAGAATACAGATTTTCAATAATTTGAATGTTTCAGAGAAAACGATACATATTTTTCCAGAAACAAAGTATAAACAAATACTATTATAGCCACTAAAGTATCTTTAAAATATATTTAACAAAAATATAAAAGATATAGTTCCCTTCCGTTATTGAAGTACTTCTTTCCAAACCAGTGGTCCCCAAATGCAGACAGATCTAAAAGCACTGGCCCACAATGAAATTTATACATTTAGTCTATGTTCACTTAAAGATATATTCTTTTGAAGCTTGTAAAATATAAATAAAATTTCAAAATACATTTCATTCAGCCTTACGTAAAACGGTAAAGACAGTGGGATTTAATTGTAACATATATTAAGGAGAGCAGACTAGGAAAAATGTCAGTTGGCACCATTTAGCAGCAGTAATATTATTGACATGTCAGAAAGTAAAACTACAGAGATCTACTTTTACTGTATAACATACTTCTCTATTCATAAACAAAAACCATGAAAATTAACAAGATAGTTGAGTTTTAATATTACAAAATCCTGAGACAAGAGCCAATACTTACAACAGAAGCCGATCAACTCTTGGTCCATCATGCCTCTGAAGGATAATGGGAGGGCTATACACTTTCATTGCTTCAACTCCTCAGTTCTGGGCTGGGATTATCATTCTCCCTTTTATAACTTTCAGGTAGCAGTGATGATTGGCAAGCTATTTATAGACATTAACTAAATTTTCTTCTAAGTTGAGCCTAGCACAGGATTGACTCATGCTTCTTAGAATATATTTTTCCATCACAGCCAAGGGAGCCAAATATTAATGGTATGAACAGGAAGCAGAAACTGATTTGACAATTGATAGAAATACACATAGAAAACGATGCTATCACCATGTTATAATAAAGGTATTAATTAGATCAACAAAGCTTAACATCTAAAATAAACATGTTTTAACAACCAACTTTATACCAATTAAAAATAAAACATAAACTTATAAAAGTAATACTTGGTTTAAAAAGTCAAATAGTAGCCAGGCATGGTAGCACACTCCTTTAACCCCAGCACTTGGGAGGCAGAGGCAGAGGCAGGTAGATAGATCTCTGTGAGACCAAGTCTAGCCTGGTGCACATAGCAAGTTCCAGGTGAGCCAGAGCTACAGGAAGACAAAGTCAAATAATATTACAAGGCGTAATAGTCATTTTACCAATCCTCACCACTTCTGAGTCCTTTCCACAGAAACAATTATTTTCATGGTATTTATTTCATGTTTTTAAACATAGCAATTTCTTTAGATGTTACTTAATGGTTCCCTACCAGACAAATGACTTAACCCCACATTCCTCTTGGTTGGCTGGTATTGGGGATTAAATCCAGTGTCTCCATGTGCTCTGTATCACTGAGTTACAATCCAACCCCCACTCAAACTCCTTCAACTGGACCACCCCTAGCTCCCCCTCCATAAAATCAGAGTTTGACTACATCAATATTCCAGCAGCATTTTCTTCCTTGCTTGTTATATTTATTTTTTTAAGAATTTCTGTCTTACTCAGGTGCTAGACTAACACTTTTCTCATTGGATGCTTTACTCTCTGTACGCTCTACAACATTCGCTCTTCATCAGAACTGTAAACCTCCTCAACATGGTCAAACATCTGTCAAGTGCTCACTTTGTTCTCCTTCCTCTCAGACATACCCATCAGGAGCACATGGAGCTCCTGGATCCGGGCAAAATGGATGCTCCATAGGCTATGAATTACCTTCTCTTTCTTCCTACAATCCTGACAGTGTTTCACAACTCTTGGTGTACTATCTCATTTTAACAGAACATACCTTTCAATAAGCTTCTTATGAAGCTATGCAGAAGAGACGACTTGGTTTTCTTTGAGGCAGGGTCTCAAATGTAAACAGATGCTAGAAGTGGCCCACAATGAAATTAATATAGACATGTGTATTTATATTTACTTAAAGACATATTCTTTTTTAAAATTTTTATTATTTTATGTGTGTGAGTGTATTGCCTGCATGTATGTGTTGTGCAATGCCATGGAGGACAGGAGTCGGCTTTGGATTCCCCTGGAACTGGAGTTAAGGATGGTTCGTAGCCGCCATGTGGGTGCTGGGAATTGAACCCAGGTCCTCTGCAAGAGCAGTCAGTGCTCTTAACCACTGAGCCATCTCTCGAGCCCCTAAAGACATATTCTTTTTTTTTTGATGTTTTTGAGACAGGGTCTCCCTGTAGCCCCATCTGTCCTTGAACTCAGCCTGCCTCTGCCTCCCGAGTGCTGGGATTAAAGGCGTGCGCCACCACGCCCGGCATATTCTTTTAAGTTTGTAAAATATAAATGAAATTTCAAAATACATTTCATTCAGTCTTGAATGTGTAACCCGTCTCAGGCATCAGATTGTTGAGATTACAGCTGTGTGCCACTGTGCCCGGCTGAGAAGACTTTAAAATCAGAAAGCTTCTCTCAGGAATTTGAATCCCTTTGATTTCCCTTCTTAACCTTTGTTGTTGCTGTCTGTTGCTGGTTTTGAGACAGGGTCTCCCTGTAGCCCCAGCTCACCTGGAACTCACTACATGATCAGGCTGGCCTTGGATCTTACAGAGATCCACCTGCCTCTGCCTCCGGAGTACTGGAACTAAAGGTGTGTGTCACAGCACCTGGCCTTCCCTTTCTAAACTTTAGTATAAATTGCAAACTGCTGTGAAGATGGCGCAGACAGCAAGAGCACTTGCTATGTAAGCATAAGGACCGGTATTCAAATCCCTAGCATCCAGGTAAATGCCAGGTGTGGCTGCATGAGAGCCCCATAACCTTGGTGCTATGGGGGACAGAGATAGGAAGCCTGCAGGAAGTTGCTGTCAGCCTAGTCCAGATCACCGAGAGACCTGGTCTCAACGGATTAATATGGACAGTAACAGAGCAGGACACCTGACATTTTCCTGTGCCTCCAAGTGTACACTCAGGAGCATGCATTCCATACATATGCGCACACAACACACGCACACATCTCTGCAGTGATATGCCCTGGTGGCAGGTATTTCTATGTTCTTCCTACTTACTGAGCTAGGCAGTTAATGAACCTTTTATTTTTTTTTTAAAAGAATTTATTATTTTTATTTTATTTTGTGTGTATGAGTGTATTGCCTGCATGTGTGTAAGTGCACCCATGTCGTGCAATGCCTGGAGGTGGCCAGAAGTGGGCGTCAGATCCCCTAGAACTGGAGTTTTGAGCAGTTAGCTGCCATGTGGGTGTTGGGATTCGAACCTGGGTCTTCTGCAAGAACAGCAGGTGTTCTTAACTGCTGAGCCATCTCTTTAGCCCCTCTAATGAACCTTTATCCTTCTCTCATTCGCCCTCTCTTATGGTACCAAAACTAGGGCCTCTGTGTGCTAGGCAATTATTCTATTGAACTGCATCCTCAGCACCTTAAAAAAAAAAACTGTAAAAAAAAAAAAGAAAGCCATTGTTTTTTTTAGTCTTTTTTGAGACACAATCTCCTTGTGGCCCCAACTGGCCTGGAGCTCACTATGTAGA